GTTTGCCAAAACAGCATGGATCTCAGCATTCTGTTTCCCCAAACTTCCTGGTTTCTCTGCCAAGAAGTGTTATTAGTGAAAAATTAGTTGACAGATTAACTTTTGGCCTAGAAGTGTAAAGAGGGCCTTAGAAATAGGAAGGAGGGCCTTAAAACCATTGTGTGGTGACATGAGTGGGTCTCAAATTAACAATGCTACCATGGGACACGTCTCTTGATTGGAGATACCACCTTTAGGAAGGTAGGATCCTTAGACCACCGAGGTATTTAGAGTGATGTAGTGCTCATCCTTGCCCAAGCATCAGATGTTCTATTTTAGGAGTGGAAGGCTCCAATCTTCCTCCTTGTCCATTCTGGGTTATGTGTACCAACATTCAAGCCCACTCCCTGGACTCAGAGCAAAATATTTAGTGGGCTTGATAAAATTGGGGCCTTTATCAGGTCATTCTGGAGTGCAGTGTATCCTGAGTTTTTGTGGGTTAGTCAAGAGCTCATGCGTGAGTTACAGTCTGGCCATAGGCAAGGACTTGCATGTTTCTGTCTCTCCCCTTAGAGTTTCAATCATTTTACACTTGGGGGCTGACCCTTGGCCATGGTTTGTGCATGATGATTTCTGAACCCCAGGAAGATGTGTGGTTGGGTGTGCTCTTCTAGTTTATTAGGTAATATCACAATGGGGTACATGTGATTATCTAAAGTATTTGGAGGCCCTTTCTGGTGCAAAGCATTTATTTATTTCCCAAGCTATGACATATTGTTGGATTGATTTGCATCAAAATAACACATTTAGATTAGGAAGTCAGAGATCCATGATTATGACGTGCAAATATAGGCTCATTTGCAAAAAAAAAATTTCTATATTCACTATTAGTTTCTCTTGTCATTTACATTAACTCCTTTTTAACTTGAATTAATTTGGTGGTTTCCTGGCCCCATGTCTGTGTAATGAAGGCTTCACTTAGAGTTTTGGCTTTCTTGCAGGTTCATCTTAAACCATGTTCTTTGATCTGTTTGATTTTAATTTGGAAGTTTATTCTATTTGGAAGCAGAAAGGCTGCAGGATGATAGAAAATGTAAATTATGAAGAAATAGATATATTTATTTTTCTGCTTTTGGCTGTTCATAGATCTTTGTGGAGACAGAAGAAAAAAAAATAATTTTGAAAGAATGAAATTGTACATTGGGCTAGGGGTGTGGCTCAGGGTAAAGTACTTGCTTAGCAATGCATGAGGCCCTGGGTTTAGTCTCCACACCACCAGAAAAACAAAACAAAAACAAAAATACCCAATAAATTATACGTTTGTGTGTGTGTGTGTGTGTGTGTGTGTGTGTGTGTATGTGTGTTTCACAATCTGTGAACGAATATTGGTGGAGGTTAATGTAGGAAAAACGTGACTTAGTGGGCAAAATTATTTATATCAGTAATTCTCAAAGATCCAGAATTATTAGTACCTTTGAATTGGTAAGAAATACAAATATTTTGTGCTCATCCTTCAATCTTTTCTGAGTCAGCAACTCAGTGGAAGGACCCAGAAATCTGAATCTTAAGAAGCCTCTAGGCAATTCTGAAGCCTACAAAAGGTTGAAAATGCAGATTTAGACAAGAAGATAGATAACTACAGGCAAACAGATTTGTTTTCATAGATGAAATTGAGTAGAATATTTAAGCAGCTGAACAATGCCACCTGCTATGATAACAAAATTTTAGATGGTGGAATTGATATATCAGAAATCTATAATCAAAGACATTCTCCTAAGAACAAAGCAGTAGACATGTTGGTTCAACCCATTGGTGGTTAGAGAGATGATTGAAGAGTACAGGTTTAATATGTTGCTGGAAAAAAAAGGATCATCCTCAATCATAGAAAAGAGATGAAATAGCCAACATCTCAAAGAGAAAGATACGAAACACAATGGAGTTCATTTTTTTTCTGAACTAAAAGAAATATTAGTTTTATACTGAAATCACCTTCATATGCAATTGCATCTGTTTTTAGCAATGACCCATAAGCATGCTCTGAAGTGGCCAAAAAGCAACCAAAAGGATTCATCACATTTCATTCCAAGTTTTGTGCACAGTTTTCTGGAATCAGTTATTGAATTTATTATAATAACCAACCAAAAATACATCACCAAATTCAGCTTTTGATAAGTAGGGTAAGTTGGAAGCTATGTAAAGAATAAATTTAAGCAATAGGTACATATGCCTACGCAAATTAATTCAAGTAAAAAAAATTCCTTCAATGACATACATGCCAAAATTGCAATCTTAAATCTTCCCTTCTTTCCTACCTGTAACAAAAACAAAGACCCAAACTAAAGGAGCATTAGCTATGAATAATCACTGTGTCTAAAAATCTCTACAACTTGGCAAGAATGTTTATTAAGTGGAGGTTGAGTAAGAACTTCTTAAATTAATGAGACTACTGGGTGCAATTTATTACAGAAATAAATACCTCAAGTGCAACAGTGGCTTGTTTAAAAAATGTTGGTGGAGTTTTATTACTCTGCCCTGTGTGCCGAAACTAAGCAAAAAGTTCCATGTGGGATCAGTCTTGGGGCATGGCACAATTTATCTTCTACTTACTACAGAACTCCCGTTTTCAGTCCTCAGCTCTTGACTCTCAGAATCTCAGAAGTGCCTACATCTCTGGATGATGAAACAATGAATAAATTTTATTTATTAGAAAATAATTGTTGAATCCATTCCATTCCTGCAGTTGTTTGATAACAGACAGATTTGGGAAATTTTTAAGTGTCCACTGGACTGTTTTCATATAGTTTTGGTATCAGAATGATGGTATGTGTTTGTTGTACATTGAGAAACCACAGCAGAGATCACCAAGAAGACACTAATTAATATGAGTCTTACACCAAAATCCAATATGGAAATGTCCCATCTATTTGAAAATAGTTGGCTGAAATGGGTCAGAATCATGAAATGAGTATTCTATAATAATGGAATAATTATCCCATTTTGAAAAGGGAAGATAAACCTTGAGAGAAATAAATTCATTATGACCAATTTCCCACTTTTACTTTTTTGCCAACAATCTGAACATTTGCATGAATAATAAGGTAAAGTTCCAAGGCCATATTTGACTAGAGTTGTAACTGGACATTGTTCCCGACTTTACAGCACCACTGAAAACTCTCTGAACTTTACATTGCTATCACTTCCCATTCCCCTTTAAACCTTTATTTAGGATTTTCCTTGAAGTCTGAGTGTTTAAAATGAATTCAAATTTACTGTTTAGTATACACCTAGCTCCAAATCCAATTTATGGCTTTAAACTTTGAAGCAAAAGGTGTAGGGAAACTTAACAATACCCTCATCCCTGACTAAAGGGGGTCTCTTTAGGGACATTATAAAATTGTGGATATGGAAAAAAGTTCTTTCATAAAACACATCTCAACTGTTCTCAGCTTCCAGCAGAAGCAAGGGATATGGTAACACCAGCAATTCCATATCAATGGGCTGTCAGCACCCTGAAAACCACGTTCTCAATCAATAATTCAAGGCGTTTTTTTGTGCATGGTTGGGATCTTGACAGATGCAGGCTAAGTTCTCACTTCAGAAAGGAAACACTCATAGTTCCTAGACCAGCAATTCTTGTGGATGAAGATAAGCACACTGTCTCATTCCACGATTTTCGCTTTGGAGAACTGAATAACAATTTCTAAAAATTTCATAGAAAATGTATTTTTTTTAACATAAAGCTTCTGATCAAAGTCTTTGCTTAAGATATAGCAAAATGTTTACCCATGGAATTATCTAATGCTTTGTAAGCACCGCTCTGTGTAATGATACAGAACAGAGAAGTCTATTTTACACTATCCCGAGTTAGGGTTAGGGTATTTGAAAAATATGCAAATATTGTAGTAAAACTTTCTAAGATGTAAATACTCAAGACAAAGGCAAGGACCTTCAATTACCTCTCCGCCAGGAAAAAAATATTTTTAAACAGTTAAATAAAGTTGGCGTTGTGAATTAGTAGCTATTTCACTTCTGATTCCTCCAAATAAATTGTGTTAATTTCAGGTGAAAATGTGGCTTGTGTGCCAATTTTGGATCTTCGTAATTACTCTTTTTAGAGTCTTAATGTCTTAAGTCTGGCCCAGTGGTGCGTGCCTGTAATCCTAGCAACTCGGAAGGTTGAGGGCAGGAGGATCACAAGTTTGAGGCCAGCCTCGGCAATTTAGTGAGGTCCTCAGCTACTTAGTGTGACCTGATCTCAAAATAAAAACAAAAAAATTAAAAGAAGGGCCCAGGGCAGGGCCTTCTTAAAATTAAAAGAAGACCTCAGTGCTAGAGCACTCCTGGGTTTAATCCCCAGTAACCCTTCCCTCAAAAGTGGCTTATTAGAACTATGTATTAGTGTCTCTCTCTTTTGTGTGTGTGTGTGTGTGAGAGAGAGAGAGAGAGAATTTTTAATATTTATTTTTTAGTTCTCAGCAGACACAACATCTTTGTTGGTATGTGGTGCTGAGGATCGAACCCGGGCCGCACACATGCCAGGCGAGCGCGCTACCGCTTGAGCCACATCCCCAGCCCTAGTGTCTCTCTTAAGGAATCATCTTTGGAGGACGTCTTACTTTTCATGATTAAAAGCTTATCAATTCAGAGAGGATAGGGAACTTGACCACAGCTAAGTACCAACATCAGGACTGTGATGCTCTTCTTCTCCTGTCCACCTGAAGGAGGAATTCCTAACATAATGTCACATGGATTCTGTGACAGGTGGAGTTCCAGATTTTGATGACAGGACCCCAGGTCCAAACTTCCTTCAGTATTTAGAGAGGATGCATGACTTGCCACTTTATTCTTGCAATCGGACAGACAGATAGCCGCCTTCTAAACCCAGAATATACCAACTCAGGATCAGCAGAAGTGCAAATCCCTGGCCATGCAAATGATTGCAGTCATTTTGCTTTCCGTGCGGTGCGTTCTCCTCATCAGAAAAGGGACAACATTCCAGAGGAGAAAGGAATGCGCTTTGCTTGAGGAAGGATACAGAACAGAGAAGTTTATTTTACACTATCCGTCCAAGAAAACAATCGCCATAAACCAGTGCAAAATGTGCAACAGAATCAATAAGTGTGTCTTAGCTCTGAGAGCCCAAATGAGTGATTTCCCCTCCTGTTCCTCGGTTGGGCAGATGCGCCCGCAGCTAGGGCTGCCCTGGGTTTGCACCGCAGACAGAAAACAATCAACCAATTTGTAGCAGGTTATTTTTTTTTTACAATTCATACCAGAATGTGTACAAGGAACTGGGAAAACCATACCGAATGAATGGATAAGTGATCAGTGCTTAAAGTAAATACAAGGGACAGCACGGGCAAGAATCCACAGTTTCAATAAATACTAGTGTAACAAGCATGGGTGTGTCTCAACTTGGTGGAATTGGTCTGCATAATAATTCAGCATCATACAAAATCTAGCAGGGCTGTTGAGCAGTGTGATTGGCAAAGAAACGTTCACAATAACTTATGCCCTTGAGCGAGTCTGCGTTTAACACATTCTGTGGTTTCCAAGGTGTCAGGTCTCTCTGCTTTCTCCTTCCCTGGCCATCCCTCCAGGACGGGAGGGGTGGAGCCAGGCCAACTTGGCGGTGGCATTCCGTGAGAAAGGACGTTTGCCCAAGAGCCAGCCGTCAGGGTCCAGTGTACTCGATACCAAGTGGCAAATTGGGACTTAATTGACGAGGTCTGTGCAAAATGCGCTTCTCTCCATTTTTTCCAAGAAACCAGTGTCTGTAACTCCTGCATGGAAAGCAGTGGTGGCCTCTGTGGTCATTCCCTGTCACCCCAAATAACCCAGCAACAAGAGCACATCTCAAGGACTCACATGTTGGGGACGCTTCTGTCGTTGACTGCCTGGTGCCTTGCGGATGGACAGTGTAACCAGGGCCCCTGTGTCAAAGGCCTCAGGCAGGCTAGAACTATTGCTTGTAAAACTAGAAAGAACCTAGTGAGAAATAGATGGTCTCAGTGAACAGGTGGGAAGCAGTTTTCTTCCTCCAACACCTTGCACCCCCAGCCCCCAAGTGAAGCCCACGGGACTTAGCGAAGCATCCTTGGGCAGAAAATGTCATACATCTGTTCTCTGTGGCCTTACCCAGCCGTTTCTCGACTAAACACTAAATCCATGCAGACTTCATTGTGCCTGGGATTCACTCCCAGAAGACATAGCAGTACAACCTGTGGATCATCGAGTATCCAGGCCCAGTGAAAGAAGACGCAAGGGATGTCCTCCATCTCTGGAAGAAAAGTAATCAAAGGGGGAGCCACCCCCCAAAATAAAACAACCCCTCAAGCCCAGTAACCTAGGAATTACCTCCAAACAAAACACCATCCCAGACATTCCTCGTCATCAATGGACCCTCTCCTCTATTTCTTCAACAGTCTTAGGTCATAAATTAGGGTAGTCTTCCATCAAATAACTTAAAAAAAGGAAGAGGAATTGTAAATAAGTTGTGCCTGGCTTGGGCCAGTTAGCAGCCAGTTTTGTTCTAGAATCTCAGTCACGGTTCAAAAATGGAGCTTGAAAATTCACGTGGATGGTAGGTGTCTTCAGATGGAAGAGGCAGGGAGGGGCCAGTTGGCAGGTGAGAGGGGGGCCAGGTGGGACGAGGGAGCAAGGAGGTGGGGGAGTGAAGGAGGTGGCGGGGAGAGCCTGGGCCACCAGGACAGGAATGGAGGCCTGTGGACAGCACAGGAGAGACGGACGCCGCGGCCCTTGAGGGCCCGCAAGACTTGGGGGATGCTGCGGCCAGGTCTCGTATTGCACAGAAAAGAAGGATCTGGGCCTCTGTAGGTGGCCAGAGGATCAGTGGTCCCCGCACATGGGTAAGTTCACGAAGGTGAACACGTTGAACTCCGTCATGATGGAGAAGCACAGGAACACGCCATACAGGAAGAGACAGCCGCACCCCAGCTTCTTGTCCAGCTGCCACTTGTTCAGGTGAACCCCAAACACCTGCAACAGAGAGAATGGGTCAGAGGGCACTGGGAAGGGTTATGGGTGGTGGGCCTTGGATAGGGCGCTGAGTCTCTCTGAGCCTGCAAACTCTATTCCTTTAGATGGTGGGGGAATAGGAATGTCAGAATGGAGAAAAGAAGAAATACAGACCAGTTGGGGCAGTGGGGAAAGTAATGTAAAAAGGATAAACGAGCTGGGCGTGGTGGTGCACACCTGTAATCCCAGCTACTCAGGAGGTTAAGGCAGGAAGATCACAAGTTTGAGGCCAGCCTGGGCAACCTAGCCAGACTCTGTCTTGAAACAAAAAGGGCTGGGGATGTTGCTCAGTGGTCAAGTTCTCTTGGGTTCAATTCCCAGTACCCACTCCCCACCCCCCACACAGAACAAAGAAGGAAAACAAACAAACAAACAAACAAAAAGAGCTATTGGTAGGGGTATAGTTTGGCTGTAGGGCACTTGTGTAGCATCTCCTGTGTGGCCCTCCACTGTCCTGCCCAAACAGGCCTTGGCTTGCGTAGGGAACACCACCCCTGCAGGCCTCTCAGGGTGGCATTGCCCACCAGTTCCTCTGATGTGCACAGATCTCCTCTCATTGCTGCTCCTGGAGGTGAGGACATTGTCACTGTGGCCTTTATTGCTGCTTCCAATCCATTTTCCTCCTCTCCTCCCTCAAAACACTAAGCTTGGAATCTCAAGTCTTCGGTGACTCCCTGTCCCTCCTTGGTTGCAGTCGACCATGCAACCCTGGGCACTCCATTTGTAGGAGTTTTATGTCTCAGCTCATGGTCACACAACCATTTTTCTCTGTTTTGGCCTTTCTCTCAAGTCTTTGACCTCTGTCTTGCATCAGCCAGTCACCACCTCCACACCCATTTAAAATTAAATGAAATGAGATAAAAATGCAAACTTCCTCAGTTGGTTCAAGTGCTCAATATTCACATAGAATCAGAAACTACTATCCAGAACAGGTTCAGGCCATTTCATTTGAGAAAGTTCTACTGTACAAGGCTGTGGCCTCGACCTTGCTCTATTTATCGAGAGCAGAAACATCTGTGTTATATTGACTGCGATTTCCTTTCCAGGTTGTTTCCATGTGGTACCCCAACTCCCACAACTCTGCAAGCCCCCCACGACCTATTGTTACTATCATAATTTCACTGGGCTTTGCCTATCTTGATCCTTCCCTCCCCCTCCTTACCCTGCTTTTATTCTACTGGCAATTGCTAGAATCACTTCAGAGCACCCATCTGGATTCCTGGCCTCTCTGTCCTGGCTTAGCTAAGCCAAAGCCCTTTGGGGTTCAAGCCATGTTTTTATCTAAGCCATGCTCCATCCACACAGCTGACCACCAGGGCTGGGGGACAATGCCCAGTTATTTTGAATGGCCTCACTTTAAATTTGAGAACACTAACCTTAGATGGTTCATTAATGTTTCAAAGCAAGCATCCTGTCCTTCCCTACTCCCTCGTTGATTTCTTTTTTCACCTTTGCTCTCTCCTGAAGCCTCCAATGCTCCCTTTTCACCCTCATTTCCATTTCATAGACTCTCATCACACACAGGCCTCCCCACCTCTCTCCCATTAGAGGAGACTCACTGTCCGTGGCCAACTCCATGTGGGCACCAGATCCCTCTCTCATGCTGCTTAAGAATGTGGTTTCAACCACTCCCCTCTCTTTAATCTACATTTCCATATCTCACCCCCGATCATGCCAATTGGCATACAAAGATGCTGTTTTCTCTCTCATATTAAAAAGCACCACTTAAAAGATTCCCTTTCCTCTGTACTTTACAATTTATCTCACAGATTATCTGAAAGAGCTGCAAATACCAGCTGTCTCCGACTTCTTCTCCCACTTTCTGTTAACTTATTCCACTAACCCTCTGCCTGTCATGCCACAAAAACACCCTCATCAAGAACATCCATGGCTTTGCCATTCTAACACTAATGGCTGTGCTCAGGGCTCACTGGACACAGTTGATCACTCCCCCCACTTTGAAACTCCTTATCCATTTGGCTTCCAGGATGACACATTCTGCTGGTTTTCTTCCAACCTCTACAACTGCTCCTTCTTTGTTTCTTTACATTCTTCATCTTCATCTTTTTGACCTTGAAGCATTGGAGAACACCAAGACTTAGACCTTGGGCCTCTTTTCTGTCTACACTCACTCTCTTAGGGAGCTTATCAAATAGCAGGGCTTCTGTCTACAGCTACATCTACATTCTGGTATCTCCAGCTTGGATATTTTTGCTGAACTCAGACTCATATTTCCAGTGGTTTTCTTGACCTTTCTTCTTGGAGGTCAAAATAGGCATTTGAAAATTGTTCTTTCTTCTCAAACCCATTTCTTCTTTCAATAACCTCATTTTGACCACACAGGTGGTTGCTAGCTCAGGATCCTGTAGCACGTACAACTCTAGCACATCCTAAAGAGAAGCACAGGGTCTACAAACATGCACTCAAACATCAGCTGGCATGCTCCACAATTCACTCAGTGTCAGTAAAGACAAGTCAATTAACTTCTTAGGCCTCAGCCAAAAATCTGTATAATGGGGCTGATATTAGTGACTACTTCATGGGAGCTCCAAATGGGAAAGTATATGCAAAGCATTAAGCACAGTGTATGGTTATTTTAAATATCAGAACTCCAAGTCATACTAGATCTGAGGAACCTTCTAAACTGTGAAAAGATCAATTATGCAAACTTTCATTTTTGATATAATAGTAAGGAAGTATTTGCTTTGGTAATATTTTTTTTTTAAAAAAAAGAGAGAGAGAATTTTAATATTTATTTTTTAGTTCTTGGCGGACACAACATCTTTGTTTGTATGTGGTGCTGAGGATTGAACCCGGGCCTCACGCATGCCAGGCGAGCGCGCTACCGCTTGAGCCACATCCCCAGCCCCTGCTTTGGTAATATTTTACCATTAGATTCACGTCCTGAATTACCTTTCTTATTTCCTGCCTACCCTTATGAATTCCCACTCTCCAGCATATGTCCATTAACAATATGCCAAGTGAAATTCAGTCAATATTTTCTTGAAACATTAAGGGAAACAACTTATTACATTTCAGTGTCTGTAAAAGTGAAAATTCAACAGTATACATGTATGCTAATGGATAGTTCATGTAGGTCAGTTCCCATATACCAAGAGGCCAAGTCCATCTGGTCTCCAAAGAACCTGGAAGAAGGGAAGAATATATGAACTTAAGAATGGAAAGAGATTTGCAAACCTACCGTAACAAAGACGGAAGCCAGGAGCAAACCCACAGAGTAGATCAGCCCCCTGCTATTCAGTCGAATCTGTAAGAAAGGATTAAATTGAGTTAGGCTCCTGAAAAAGGCATCCCCTAACCATGAATCCAAATCTTTCCCCTCAAGAATGGCAAAGCAAATGTCAGTCATGGCAGCCATGCCCTGTACTTGAGATGTGCGCTTTGGTAGAAATGCAGGTTTATCCTTCTCTTGTCCACTCTCAGCATGGTCCTGTCCTTACCTTCAAGAGTGGCGCCCCGGCTGGATAACCCCATGACCACTCAAATTCTCCATCCTGTGTTGTATGATTTTTGTTGTCCACAAGACTGTTCTGTCAACCCAATCTCTACAGAGCTATTGCTTTCTCCAACTCATACTACCTTTAGGGTGAATTTTATCACATGATGAAAAATGGGTGATAGGAGAATGTAAATAGGTTTTATTTTTATCTTTTCTGCATATATTTGTTTGTGTTCTTTTCTTAACTTGATGGAAAGAGGTGAATGAGATGCTCTAGTGAGCAACATATAAGAGAAAAAAGTTAGAATAGAGAAGCAGTTTTTTGAATTGTTACAGAATAATGTTGTTTAGTAGAACTTTCCACAATGATGGGAATGTACAGTATCTGTGCTTCCAGTGTGGTAGCCATTAGGCACATGTAGCTGGTCAGTAAAAGAACAAAATGTTTAATCGTAAATTTTTTAAAGAATTAATTTAAATTTCATTTAAAGAGTGTGGTCCGTTGCTACAGAATTTGGCAGAGAAAGATAATATTCCTGAAGCAAGGAGAAAGTAGAGTATTGAGGGGCCATCTTGACCCACAAAGATCATAGAATTACTTCCAAAGTCTTCTGTCCCAAGTCTGCCCTGAAATAGAAGAGATGCCTGAGAGCAGTGATTCTCAAAGGCTGGTCCTGGGATAGCAGAAGCATCTCTTGGAAATTTGTTCAAATGCATGATCTCAGTCCTACCCAGGCCTCCTGAGTCAGAAGTTCTGGTGGGAGGGTGGGGCTCAGCCTTCTGTGTTTTAACAGTCCTTCAAAGTGATTCTGATGCCTGGGAAAGCTTAAGAACCACTGATTTGTGGAAAGTAGAAAACCTAAATCCACTTCTTTTGATCTCTGAAGGATTCTTGGGGATGGAACTTTGACATTCACTTTTACAAGTGATTTTAGAATCTCTTCCATATCTTCAGGTTTGAAGGCTACAGCCCCCTCATCAATGCATATGGTCCTAAAGGAGTGAAAAGCTCAACTGGTTCATAAAAAGGGAGAATGAGACTGATTGATTTGTCTCTTGTTTTCTTTAGAGAACTAAGTGGTGAGTATGAGTAGGAACAGTTTTGGCCTTCTGACAAGGTTCAAGGTCTGTCATGTCCTGATTTTAACAGTTCACCACCGGGGTATGTGTTTAGGAACATGTATGTGTCCCCAAAGGTAGGAATGTTGGGTTCATCTTTTGGAGATAGGACCGTCAACCCTAAGTAAGCAATGCTGTGTCACAGAGGGAATGCCTCTTTCCACGGCAACTCGACAGTCTCTGTAAGTCCACCACTTGCTTGAAACCCGGCTGGGAAGTGGTTCACAATCACCAAATGCCTTCTTAAGAATAAAAAAGGAATCAAGTCATATCTCTGTGGCATGAAAGCAATGGGTTGATCTGGTTAACTGAGTGTAGAAAATGAGAGACTGACTTCATCCCAGTGTGGCTGTCAGCTTAACTTCTTATAGACTTCACCCTGGTAGTGGGCATAGTTTCCTCCCTATATCAGGTGGGTTGGTACAGAGAAGTCAATATCCAGGAGTATATCACCAGTGCATTGTATTGAAAAAGATTCTCTTCCCCAAATATACTCTCCACACGGATTCTCTTGTGATCCCACATGTTGGAGCATCATGATGTCCCCTAAAAACTCTCCCAAAGCAGAGGCAGGAACTTCCGGCTGGAGCTGCCCTACGCCTTCTGGTCCACGGGTGGTGCATAAACATTCAGAAACTGTGAATAAATACTCAGAAATCCTTTGAGCTCTTAATTTTCAATACTACTTGGATTCTTCCTAGAACAGGAGAGAGTGTATTCCCAGGCCGGCTTGCCCTCTGAGCTCTGGGGTTGATTCCCTTGTCAGCAACAAGAACTGACTAAAGTGATTTCTTGCCCTTAAGAAACCAAGGGCCAGTGAGAGTAATGATTCAAGCAGGAAAATTCTCTCTAGCTAAGCATTTTCAAAAATGAACCATGTTAAATCAAAGCTTTTGAACTTCAGTCTTCTTATACTCACATACGATGTCAAAGAACTTGCTGTTGAAATTCTAAATCTGGCTCCAGAGAGGAAAGACAGTTCTTTGTTGAGGTTTCTGAAAGTTTTCCACATTCTCCCTCCCTCCCCGACTCCTGTGGTCTTCCTTTGGTAGTAGACTGCTACATGCACCCAGGTGGTATGTATTTTTGTTGTTGTTTTCATTGTTAATTAGCGACCTGACCTCTTAGAGCTTGTATTTATTCCTCAGTGTCTGTTCCCACACTGCCACACACACTTTGTAGTCAGGAATTAGGGTTCCCCCAGTTACCATTTGGTCTAACTTGAACATCTCTCAGCCACTGGAGGCTATGGGAGGTTTGGGACAGGGTTTGACAAACTATGATCCTTGGACCAAATCTGGCTCACCACTAGTTTTTGTAAATTAAGTTTTATTGGAGGTAACTTGTTCATATATGTGTCGTCGGTGACTGTTTTCATTCTACAGTATTGAAGATGAGTAGTTTTGGAAGACTATTCGGCCAACAAAGCTTAACATAGTTCCTCTTGGGTCCTTTACAGAAAAAGAATGCCAACCCCTGGTTTAGGGCACAGGATTCAGACACAGCTTCCTGGGTTTTGAATCCCTGCTCAGACACTCATTTGCTATACAATCAAGAGCAGATCACTTAACTTTCCCCAGGTCTCAGATTTCTGGTGTGTAAACCGGGGATAAGACTGTTCTTACTTTATGGATGTTTGTAAGGATTAACTGAATTAATGAACACAGTAAAGCTCTTGAACAGGGCATGGAGTCTATCTAACACATCCTCAATAAGTGTGGGCCTGTATTCCCTACCACTTGGCAAGCTGCCTGGGCCCATTTCCCCAGCACTCCTGGCATCTCCTATAAACTCATCACCTATAGCTCCCAGATCAATGTCTTAACTGGAAGCTACAAATGCAGGATTATATCTGGCTCTACCCTCCACAGACCATGTGCTTAATACACAATTGATGAATAAATAATGGATGACCTTGAGGGATCATGTCAATGGCTTACAAGAAGGTTAATTCCAGTGGGGCAGTTGGGACTGGTCAGAGAGAGAGATTGGAAGCAGAGATCCTGGGGGACAATTCCTTGATAATATTCCAGAAGCAATATGATCTCTACCCAGAGTCCTGTCTCCCTTCACTTAATTTCTTATGAGCATGTATAGATTTTTTAAAAATCCAATATATTATTCCAAAAATGTTCAAGCATTCAGAAAAGTTGAAATAATTATATCATGTAATTTTTTTAAAAAATAAATTTCAAAATAAGCTGCAGTCACAAGTACACTTGATCCCTGAACACTCCTGCCTGCTTCTCATTAAGTGGAGTTCATTTATAGTTCGGGTGTGTTTTTATTCTTACATGCAATCTTCATATAGTGAAATTTACAGATCATAACTGCACCACTGAATGGTTTCTAAAAATTGCATATATTCATGTAACTAAAACTCCCACCATGACAAAGAGTGTTTCTGACGCCAGTAAGTTCTCTTGTTGGCCTCTGCCAGTCTCACCCAAAGGCAGTCCCTACTTCTCTACCACAGGTTGGTTGGGTCTGTCCTGGAGCTTCTTACACATGGAAACCCAGAGTGCGTGCTGTTTGACATGAGCATTCGGCACAATTTTAAAGATTCCTTCCTGGTTTTCACTGCATCAATAGCTCATTTATTTTTATTCAGTAACAGTGTAAATATACCATGGCTTGTTCAATTATTCTCCTGTTGATGGACATCTGAGCTGCTTCCAGTTTTGTGTTTTAACAGGTGTCACTTTCATAATGCAAAATCAACATGAAAAGAGGCCTATGGTGGTTCCTTCTCATCAATACCATGGCTATTGGGTAAAGATGAAAAAAATGTAGTTAGAGACTCTGCTAAGGACCTCACAACACTCTCTCCTGTCCTATCACTGTTCTCTGAGGCTGAGTATGGCACTTTACCAAGTGGAGTAATCCACCTTTCCCATACTCTTGCCCCCATATGGGAGCTTCAGTCCGGGTAGGTTGCCTACTCCCCTCCTTCCCACTTTTACTTTGCCCATCCTGCCCCAAGTCCATAGGTCACTTTCAAGGTCACTATTGCACATCTGGTGCAGATCTCCTCCTGCCTGTGCTTGGGGCACATTCTTATCTCTCCAGCTGTCCAAATGCCCTGAGAGCAGAAGCCCAGATCTGAATTTTTCCTCATCCTAGCATCTAATTTTCCCCAGCTTCTCACACTGTGTGTTTAAATGAACATTTTCCAGTGATACTGAATGTGTGTGTGCATGTATATGTTGGGCAGCAATGAGACTGGGGGCAAGGGGAGAGAGTGGAGATTTCAGCGTAGAGGCAGACCATAGTGAGGGAGGGCTTTAAACTGGTCTTTGTAAGAAAGCACCAGATATTTTTTAATTGAAGCCTAACTTGCATAGAGTTAAACATACATATTTCAAGTGTACTTATAATTAAATGAGTTTTGACAAATGCATGCATTTATGTAACGCATACCTCAACAAAAATATGAAACATTTTCATCCCCCAGGCATGCTTCCTTGGGGACATGGTAAGCCAGACAACAGCACCAAACCCTTCTCATTTCTGGATTACCTTGGAAAAAAAGCCTTTGAGCTCCAGTTCTGCACAGTCAAGCTCAATTATTTTCCTGCTCTCTGCCGGATAGATGCAAGGCACAGTAAATGCAAGTGCATAAAAATTTCATGGCAATGCTGATTGGAGAGCATGCAAGGCGCGTCTCAGGATGTTCAGTCCTGACATTT